ATTCAAGGTCTATAAAACTTCTTCGTCTGTCCTAGAGTGGTTCATCCTCAAGTTTTTCCCACGATCACCTAGTTTTATGTAACTACGAGATCGTTGTTTGAGAACTACGTTTTGTTGTTTATTTTTTATTTTTATGATGACAACAAAACGGTAAATAAAAGGATAAAGCTTTTTTTTTACAGCTAAAACTAAACTATGGTTTATGTATGAGTTATTCTTCAACTTTATTAATGTCAAAAAAATCAATACCTATTTGTGCTGTACTATAGGTAACAAATTAGATACTTCCTTCAATCTGAGATTTTCTCCTAGCTGCTATCCTATTCTTCTCACAGCATCGAGTCGAAAAACGATGAAAAACTAGTTTAAAAGTGTTTCCATGGAATTTTAAAAAACCTACTTTTCTACACTTGTCCAATCTGTCAGGTCCCCTATGTTTGCTTAGTTTTTCGAGCTCCAGCCGGTGCGTTTTGTAAAAAGATTCCATCTTTCTAGTGAGATTTGCCATTTTAAAATTAAAAAACCTGCTATATTTAAAATTTAATTCAAAAAATCAGGGTTTAACGTATTTTATTCTCAAAATTGTTTTAATAAAAAAATTCGGAGTGTGAGATGATATATCTCGACAGAATCGGAGTTATTTCTCCGATGCAATATATCTACAGGCTTCTACTATGTTTTCCAGAGCACATTGTGTTCTTGTCCGCTCTTCGACAAGAGTTCGAATGAATCAAAGAAGATTAATCAAATCTTTTTTTTTATCACAAGGTAGACTAGAATCCTTTTTTTTAAAAAAAGCAAAAAAAACATACAGAACACGCCGTAATTTCCTCATATGAAAAACAAACAAATAAATTGGAGGTGTGTGCTATTGACGCTAGATACACGTGAGATGAGAGTAAGATACCAGATCTATTATTTTGTAAAATGAAAAATAAGCTAAAAAATAAATAAATAAATAAATAAATATATTCAACACGAGAGATCATTATTGACGTAAATTCTCAGCCTATATCGATAGATTTCTCACCATCTTTTATAGCGGACATCCCAAAAAAGTTATCAACCTTTTTGTTACTGTTTTGTCTCATGAACACTATCACTTTTTGCCAGTAGGTAGAATATTTACAAACATTTCTAAATCGAGTTTAACTTTGTTAATTTGGAGATGATTTTCATCAATATTCATGGATGTTCAAGGCTATTTGCAAAGACACGAGTCCACGGTTTCGTTTGTTTTTGTGTATCGTATTTTTAGCATTAAATCAGACACACTTACATAGGTGTTTTCAATCAATGCTTAATTTAAGATCACGTTCTAAGAAGTAAAGACAAACTTAATTCAAAACGAAGTCTTGAGTCGGCATTGAAGATTTTTGATGAAACATTAAGAATTAAGTCAATCTTTAACTTGAGACTTTGAGTGCTCACTTAAGAATATTGATAAAACGATACAAATTATCAGAATGACGTAAAACTCATCATTCTTTTATAAATTTCTGAATTTTTCATGCTATTTTCCAGGTAGTTTTCTAGAGGTGAGAGACCACCCGAGTATTACGTATATAATGATCCTCATTCGATACTATTTCTACAATATATGAAAAAACCAGAACAGCGTCGACAATTTCTATGATGATTGACATAGTTGTATCTTTCCTTGAATTTCTTACATAATCAAACATTTTCGTTTTGATGAATTTGTCGATGTGGTCGATGATATAGATGATACTTTTTTTGTTACGTTTTTTTGTGCTAATTCTTTTGTATTATTATCAGATGCATTTGAAGTTTTTTTCACAGTTGTAGTCCTATTATTTAATATGGGTGTTGTTGGTCGAATTGTACCAGTTGTTTCTGCCATACTTGGACTATTTGACGATGTTGTTGCAATACTACTCTTGGCGGAAGTAGCAGCAGCAGATTTCACTGGTAACGAAGTATCATTGGTAGCCGTTGTTGGCTCAATAATATGTCCATCTTGATCAACATTAAAATTAAATTGTCGCTTTTTATCTAGCTTTAAAAGTTCTTGAAATGCTTCTCGAATATTTAAATTTTGTTTTGCTGATGTTTCCATAAATGCACATTGCCAATGTTGAGATAAAAATTTACCGATACTTTCTGATACTTCACGACATGCTGTTTCATCGGATTTACAACCAATTAACATAATTGGTACATCTTGAGGTAATTGATTTTGTTCACCTTTTATTTCACGAATTTGTTGATAAATTGGTTTTAAATCTTCTAATGTTTGTTTGGATGTAATGGAATAAAGTAGCATAAATGCATGACCTTTTTGAATTGATAAACGTTGCATAGCAGGAAACGAATGAGTACCTAAGGTAAGTATTATTATTAGACAGGGCGTATTATTATAATCCTATCAAGTAAATATTACGTCTAAAATCATGTTATTACCTGTTGTATCAGTTATTTGTAGTGTTGTTATTTGTTTATTACAATTGACAACTTGACGGTCTAAAGGACACAGGACATACACCTTACTTTAATGACAAAGCTAAAGAAACTTATCATTTGTCTTACTTACATGTATCCTCAACTGTTGGAATATAATTATCTCGAAATTGTCCTTTTACAAAACGTAACACACAACTTGTTTTACCTAGAATATGAAAAAAAATCCTTAGCAAGAAAGATTTAGAATGCATCCTATACATTAATTCCATTAAAATCAATTTTGTTATAGAAAACGTGATATAAACAAGTGGGTTCAATATCTTCTAATGGTTCGTTGAGCTTGAATTTTGGTAATTTTATTATATTACTATCTATTTCAAAATAGAATGGACTCGGTTGCTTTTTGAATAACTAAGGAACATTACTGGCTAGCGAGTTCGGGTTTTCGCTGTTGACGACATCTGGGGGCATCCAGGCATGTAGCAATCGTCGGGCATGCCAAGATCTTTGAGAGATTTCCAGAAGGTCTCTGGAAAACCACCCTCGCATGCGTTAGAAATTTTGATTCTTCTGACGAGGGAACCTATCCAACTGTCGGACGCCGTTTGACTCCATATTTTGGCTATAAGTA